TTATATCAATATTTAGAATGAAGATTTGTATGTAGTTTCCCGTCTGTTTGATAGGTGCTAAGTATCAATATTAAACTTCACTTTTTAAATAAGAATTTGGAAACTTTTCTTCTTTTTATATGGGTTGGAAGAGTTTAAATATTATCAGAATTATTCCTTAGAAGTTTGTTAGAATTTTCTCTCTGAAGCCATCTAGTCCTGCTTTTGTTTATTTGTGTATTTTATTTATTGCAGGCACAGTCAGGGAAGACAGCTCTTTTTTTTATTTATGGTATTGACCTATTTAAGTTTTCTATGTTTTTTTCCTTTGGTCCTATTTTTTTTTTCCCCTCAAGGATATGTAACATATTATTTACTGGACATTTTTGATTCATACTGTTTGAGACTCTCCTGATACNAAGCCTTGCTGGTCTTTGAAGGTTATTGGTCACATTGGGCTTTGGTACCCAGTACTGAGCCTGTTCACTTTAAGACTTCTTAAGAAAGTTAGGAAGGAGCACTGAGCAACTTGAGCAAGATATGAAGATTGCTGACTTTACATGCCATTAAATTAGGTCAGTGATTACTGACGATGGTTTAGTTGTCTGCATTGACTCTCTGATTATATACAACAGTATAACATATTAATGACTCCGAGTAGCCTTGAAATTAAGAAAATCAATTATTTTAAGACCGTGGTTTTAGACTTTGCAGCTGGGTGTTCTGGTCAGATTCTGAAATCTTACCTCAATTCTGGGATTCCAGGAGAGGGAAGGGAGCTGTTTTTTCAAATCTACTTCTACTGCAAAAACAAGGTCCCCAAGTTCAGGCCTGAGTGTAGCCTTTACTTATGTCAGTTGCATTATCTTGGTGTGCAAAGGGTAGCACCTGATTAGCAGGGCTTGTGCAGCATAACAAATATATCCAACTTTAAAGTTCAAAATTCCCATTGAACCAGTATAGCATCAATTTATGATAGATAATAATGCCATAATTTTTAAGTTTTGTTTTAGTTTGCTGTTGAGAATTATGGGCCTTTTTCTGCTTTCTTTNATATGTAACATATTATTTACTGGACATTTTTGATTCATACTGTTTGAGACTCTCCTGATACAGAGTGAGGTGATCTATTATTGAGTTGTTTTCAAGAGTGGTGGCTCTTTTCTTGTATTCAGTTTTCTGGTATTTGACAGTCATGTCTACCATTCCCAGATTTAGATATTAAGGACTATTTCATAATTTTATTGTTGGGATGGTGATAGTGGAAACCATACTGTATGGCTGCATTGTTCGGTGGACCATTATTACCATCTTTGGTACATTTGGCCAGTGGAGTCCAGTTTTACTGCTGGTCATGTGGCAGACACAGTGTCCATTCTTAATAGAAGTAGAAATTGACATATCAGATGTCCTGTACATTATAGGTACTCAGTAATTCTAGTGAATAAAATATTTGTTTAGTGTTTACTATATGTTCATTTGCAGAGGATATGAAAGACATGTTCCTTGTGTATGAAAGAGATTACACCCCAGCTAGAGAGACAATATATATTATTAATACAGAAGTTGAATTAATAATTATGGTAAATATATGCATTCAGATATATTAAAGGACAGAGTTTTACATACTTGTGTAGGATAGAATGAGTTTCAGATAATTTTCAGATATATTGAAATGTTCCCCTTACGTGGCCTGGGTTTACAAATTAATTTAGATAGCTAAAGAGTTTTAGCAGTGTTTTTGCCTTTCCATAAGCCATATGTCCCTGAATTTGGCTAGGAAATAGAAATCACAACGCTGTAGTAACAGAGGTGCAAAAAATGATAATGTTGATCTAAATTTATAATGTTAAGAAAAACGGTGATCATGGTTGATAAGATTTTATTAATTATGTTGAAAATTTATTAACAAAATATTCTTTCCCTTTTTCATAGATTTATCTAAAAACAGACTGGTTGAAGTTCCAATGGAATTGTGCCATTTTGTATCACTGGAAATTCTTAATCTGTATCACAATTGTATCAGAGTCATTCCTGAGGCCATCGTTAATCTGCAGATGCTGACTTACTTAAACTTGAGGTATGTTAACTACAAATAAAATTCCATGAAAGAAATATAAAATCATTATGCTTAGTTTTTTTCCTCTTTGCAATTCCCAATCACTCTTTGAACTAATCACACAATGATCATTTAAGAAATTTTTAAAAACAATGAATTTGTAGTGTTATTAATGTTCTTGGTGCTAGACTTCCCTGAATGTCAGTATGACAAGATTTTTTAAGAAAATAATTTAAATTGTCTCATTTATACTCTTTGTCTAATTGGTGCTTGTAAGGTTGTAGGTATGTTGTCCTCGGGTATTTATGTAGATTTTGAAGGAGGAAGGATAAAGCAAGTGAAGAAGAATTTGAAAGTTGGGGCAAGAAAAAAGAAAGCCTTGCTGGTCTTTGAAGGTTATTGGTCACATTGGGCTTTGGTACCCAGTACTGAGCCCGTTCACTTTAAGACTTCTTAAGAAAGTTAGGAAGGAGCACTGAGCAACTTGAGCCAGATATGAAGATTTGCTGACTTTACATGCCATTAAATTAGGTCAGTGATTACTGACGATGGTTTAGTTGTCTGCATTGACTCTCTGATTATATACAACAGTATAACATATTAATGACTCCGAGTAGCCTTGAAATTAAGAAAATCAATT